CATTGAACCACAATACCAATAAGTGATTAATAAAAAGTCAAAAGACCAAAGAGGTCACCTTAATACCAAAAAAAAAAAAAAAAAAAAAAAATTTACAATTAAGTTTATATATAATTTTAATATAGTACTTCTATTCTTAAATAGTTTACTCAAAAATTCTAAATTAGTTGCTATATCTAGAACTTATTTATAAATCTTTTATTTAAATATTCTAAATCTTGTATTTACTCTATCATACCAATAACTTTAGTAAATTAATAAAGATATACTATAATTACTTAGTCATATTTAATTTTGTACTAATGTTAATAAAAATTTTTATATTTTATACTTATAACTGATCTAGTATTATTTTAATTTAAACTAGTACTTATAGTTAGAGCTAATTATTAAACTACTATATTCTTGTAAGGTTTACTCAAATCCTGATATTTATCTTTTTGATATCTTCTTTATCATCTCCTACTAATTACTACTTAGAATTAATAAGACTTTACAAACTTCTAATTCAAATTGTCTAGTATGATATATTTTAGTATTCTTTTCTTTTAGTGATTCTAATAACCTGATAAATCATGTACTTTTTTATACATTTTGACATTCAGTTTATTTATCTATTTTTTTGGAGATATTTTATAGACTACTATTAGTTTAACAACATTGTCAAAAGTTTGTGTTATCTTCTTATTTAGAATTTTTAAATAAGCTTCTAATTTTTTAATTTTTTAATTTTTTGTATCTAATGATCTTATCATAAGTTTACACTTAAATCTTATACAATACTTGTTATTTTTTTTTTAACTTAGACAACTTTGCTGATCATCTTTATTAAGATTCTTGTATATATATTGTACAAAGTTGACTTAAATTTTGGTTTGACATCTTCTAGCTACTTCTGTGAGTGTTTAAGATTAGTCTGCCACATGGGTTAGGAGGTTATCCCTGGCCTAAGGCTATATCAAGCTAGCTAGTAAGACCCTAAAAAAAGAGTTTTACATTTTTATTTACAAAACTAAAAACTAAGTCAAGTCATGTTTCCTAAATTTGAACTTTGTCTCTCTTATTTTTCTCTTTCATGACTCAGTTTTGTTCATTTATATTTGTAACCTTTTCTTCTTTTTGTGTTTTCTTGCTCAAGAGGTTTAGTTTTTTATTATTTTCTTTTTTTTTAATTATAATATTAATTCCTACTAATTTTTCTCAATCAGCAATAATATTACAATGGTTTTTTTATATGTTTTCAAAAAAACTATTCTATGCTGCATTTTTGAACACTGTTATGAAATTCTTGGTTTTTTTTAAAGATTGAGTAATATCTTGTACTGTCTTCTTGGCTTTTTTTTATATTAGTTCTTTGATGATTTTGAATCTGCTTGCTACTCTTTCTTTATTTGAAGTTTTTTATAAAAACTTTTAATTTCTTCTTTACTTGTCTTTCTCTGGGTTTCTTTTACAAGTACTGTTCATATCAAATTAATTGCTATATTTTCTATATTATTGCATCCTTTTTCATATTCATTGCATGTTACTAGATGTTCTTGATTTTCTTTGTGGCCTTTATTACATAGTATATAAAATGCATTTTTGTATAAATCTGATCATCTTTGTATCAAGGTCTTAAGTACAGGTAGCTTTTTGTTTATGAATTTAATTAATATTGCTAATTTTCTATTTCTTTTTATACTTGTATATTTTGTTTTATTTTAACTCTTATTATTTTATTATAACATTGACCAGTTGTATTCTTCTTTTCCTAAATTTGATTCTGTATTTTGAATTGATGATGTAAATCTCTATTCTGCTCTGACCTTAAGTTTTAATATATTTTTGATAAAATTTTTTGTTAGGTTTTCAATTACTAAATTCTCTCAGCAGAGTAGAATTTGAAGGTAGTACTTCTATTATTCTATTAGAATTATCTATTTTATTCTACTCTTTTGCTAATTTATCTGTCTTATTATTTCATTTGTTACAACTATGCTCTTTTATTTTAACTAAGTCTAATTATAATTTCTTTAATCTAAGCAATTCTAGTATACTTTTTTTAAGATTATAGTTCTTCTTTTTAATCCAATGTTTGCTTAACTTTAGTTTTTTTCCTTTATTGAGGCCTGCTATCACTGATGCACTGTCAGTATAAATTTTGATCTTTTTCTTTCTTGATGTTATTAGTAGTACATACCAAATTACAAGTAATTCTGATTTTGTTGATGAAGGCCAATTTCATGCATCAATTATGCCTTCATCAATTATTTTTTCTTCTTTACTGTCTACTTGCACCCACTCTACTCTTATACAATTACTCTTTACTGAACTTTCTGTTAATATCTTCTTAAGTGATCCATCTGTATAAAAAATCAACTCCTCATTGTTTTTTAGTTTGTTTTTTGATTTTTATAAACAAGCTTCTCTTTAAGTACTTGACTAAGCTGTTGTTTTTTTATAAACTTTATGTCTAAATCTTTACATATTATTTTTTTAACTGGACTTTCATGTTTGCTTAGTTTAGCTAACTTATATAACACTAGTTATTAATATTCTTTTATATATATAATTTTATATTTTATATAAATGTTTCAAGCTCTCATTCAAGATTTTATAACTGAAGATTACAGATATGTAAATTCAACTAATCAATAGAACAATTACTATAATACAGATATAATTTTTAAAATTTATTATTCATAGGATTTAAACTCTAAATCTGCCACTTAAGAGTTAACAACCTGTCCACTTCACTAGATCATTATATTCTTATTATTTAATAATAATTAAGAAATTTACAATTAAATCTTAATATAAACTATATATCAAAAAAAAATTAATTTAATAATTTTTTCAAAATAAATTTTAAACTTAACTAATTTAAAATAGTTTAGTATTGTATTAATAAACATTTATAATATAATTTGTATTTTTTTATAAGTTAATATAAATTTTATAATATAAAATTTTTGCAAAATCTATTTTTTATCAATTTGATCTCTTTTTCTAACACATTACCCATATAGTCATCAGGTCAAAAACAAAAATTTAAAAATTATAAAAAGGTGTAACTATATAAAGATCAAATTTATATTTTATAATAACTAGAATTAAAAAATAATGTGTCTATATTAAGGTTGTAACTATATCAAGAGTGACTATAACAAGATCTGATTGTATATTTTTATGTACTAAGCAAGTTTGCTTAGAAGCTTAAAGAATTATATATTAGTAAAATCTTAATATATAATAACTTCTCTATAATTTACTAATAAAAAAGCAAAAATACTAAATTATATAAAATTTTATTAATAAATAATGCTTTAATACTCTGAGTAAACTTATTCGGTATATAAAAACACATTAGAATAGTATATAATCTTAAATTTGTATTTTTGATAAAAATTGTATCAACGTACGCACGTACATTCGTATATACGATCACGCAATTCATGCAACGCAATCAAGTTACATGACCCGAACACCGGCGCTACGAATTACTTGGGTACTCTCGAACGTGTCGAACACACAGTGTATTACATATTAGCAAAGCAAAGAAAATAATAATGAAGGCTTATACAAAGAAAAATTTCTAGCAAAATTTTCGCAATAGATAGTTGTATGGTAGCCTCCAAAGGTTTGTAACTCCAGATTAGCGGGATTGAACATTTAGATAAACTAGTAAGAAAAAAACGTGTTTATTTTCACAATACAATAATAATGTGTTAAATTTTGTGTTTCTGCGTAATAGTAACAGATTTTTAGAGGTTACATATTCAACCGTTTTGATCCGAGTTGTAAATTTTTGACCCGGTTGAACCGTTTTGACACGGTGACCCGGTTTACCATAACCCGATTCTAAGCTCTATTCGCCACCCATCAACCAAGCTTTTTTCTTCATTTCTTTCCTTTCTTTCTTTTTTTGCTTAAATAATTCAATATCCTTTCTATTCAATTTTTTGTTACTCTTTGTTTCCGCCGAGCTCATCTCACCTTTTCTCTTTGATCTTTGTTCAGCAAAACTCTCATAATCAAAGAAATAAGACATTTGCCGGATTGCTTTCGCATCAGACGAAAATTTCTCTGGTGTCAAGGTTGGGTCACGCTGAAATTTACCCGTTCGCGTATTGAATCTAGCAGATATAGTGTAATCTGTACCTTCATTTCCATGCTGAGCAAGAAAGGAATTATAATCTGAATCTTCTGCAGTTTGAGAGTATTGATAATAAGCACTCGCGTCTGAAGTTGAAGATTCTTGTTCTTGTTCTTGGGGTTGCTCATTGGATTGCTCATTGGATTCATTGTGTTGAGAAATAGATGAGGAAGAGGGTAATGAAGAACTACTACCATCAAGTTTTGACTTAACTTCAGTATCAATTTTATCAAGGATGGATTCCAATGGGTTCGGTGGTTCAGAAGGAGCAGTCACAGCAGTGGAGGTAGTATCGTAGCCATAATAATATCCTTCAGGATAATACCCATATTGCGCGTAATAATACTGATAATATTCTTCAGTTGCAGTTGTAGCACTAGCAGCTTGGTCAGCCGAAATCGTTGAGTCATTTGAAGGACATTGATAATATGAGCCTTCTGTATATGATATACTGTTGGGAATTTGCCATGTTGTTTCATTTGTGACAGTATTCCAATAATAATACGCTTGAACATTATCATCCCAAATGGCCTGCCAATCGGAAGCTTGATCCGCTTTTAACGACTCAGTCACTGATTTGGATTCTTGATCCAAGGCTTGATCAGTTGTAGTCACAGTTTCAGTTGTGGAATTTGTATTATTTTCTTCAATAGTATTATCAGTTGTCTCATGTTCTGTATGGGCAGGATTAGTAACTTGTGAGAAAGACATTTTTGTCTCTATAATTAGAAACTTGGTGTTACTTTACTTGAAAAAGATAAAGCCGCAAGGTCGTTTTGTGAAAGAATGTCATAAGAAGATACTGATCTAAAAGATTGAATTTCTATGCGGCAATGACGTAACGCAATTATGCCTTATCAGGCTAAAACACCTGCATAAATGCATCATAATCAATAATCATTATAAGGATTGTCGTCTCACTCGGAAAGTAAACAAACCAGAAACCGGAGCTAAACGAAAACTTTATAGTCGTCTTTTAGTCGAAAGCGCGCCAATATGATAACCAATACAGTTACGAATGAAGTGTCAAAACAAACAACGTTAAAGAATCACGCAGCAAGTACTAATCTACAGTTTACGAGGAATATAGTACAAGGTATTTTTCAGATATTTTTTTTCTCACGAGATTTTCGGGCTGTGGTTAAGTTTTACCTTGAACGTTGTGAAAGTGGCTTCATCTCGTGTTCTAACCTGTACAAAAACCACTAGAAACCAAGAAAGATCTCAAAAGAAAAGCAGCAAGACAAGCAACAGCTGGTATTTATTTGTTTTGAGAAAATATTTTTCTAATTAGAACTAAAAAAATATATTTTTAAAATGCCCTCCTGACTTTACTTCTCTGACACTTATTTTGGTTTGTACCCCCTTCTAAATAATTTAGATTGGTAAGTCTGATAACAAAAAAGAAAAAGCCTTTTTTTATCATAACAATGGGGGACTATTTTTGTAATTTTTTTTTACTGTGTGAACTTTGTTGTCATTTTTGTACAATTCTCCGAATATTTAAAATTATCAGGAACGGTTTATTAATATGGGCTAGAAAACAACGTGGACCATATTATGATCCAACGACGCGCATGTATCATGTCAATAGAAATTCGAAAAAATATTTTGCAGGATATACTGAAGCGGACGCAGAAATGTGAGTTAGAGAATTTCCGTTTCTATTTCTTTAACTGAAACATGGCAAAATGTTCAATAGCCAATAAAAATTAAAAAACGTGATGACCAAACTGTTTGTGTAACCTTTCAGTGAGAACGATGCTTTAGGACTGACTGGCCAAAAAAGTGTGCATAATAGTTTCATTAAACCTGCATTACACATTGTTGAAAAAGAGACGATAGTTTACGGAAACCACATGCCCCCCGCCCGTGTTGGTAACCCAAGCGGACGGAGACCTGGCCGCCCAAGGTATCTTTATTCATGCAATTCTTTAAAATTTGTAATTTTTTTTCGAATTCAGTTAATTGAACTGGTTTTCTGTTAACTAATTTAGGAAATCGGATATGTCAAAACTTAATTAATATAAAACTTTAGCATTTTAGCATTTTACAACCATTCGTTTAGACACTATTTATCATATTCACAATTATTTTTGGCGTGTTAAGCAATTTCATAGAACTAGAAATAATCATGCAAATGACATTTTATACATAGATGTTCATTTGTAAAGTGACATTTAAGCCTTGATCTTTATACTGTGTCCGAATATACCAACATAATTACTTCAGACGTTTTTTAATTGTAATTGTACACCTTTTATTGTTATTGTAATTTAAACTTGAGTCAAACTTGTAAATTTGGTCATTGGAGATGCAAATCGCTTATCAGACTTTACTTTGGTGCAGCTTTTTTTTTTTGGTGTAACAATTGTGCAATTTGGAATTTTATTATGTATCAATTGTAAAATTGCAATTGTATTCTATCGAAATGTACAGTATAAATGTCGAAAATGGTGGAATTAACCAATAAAAACTAGCCGGTCAACATTGCTAACCAATTAGGTGTTAATTTTAAAAGAATTATGAGTATTACTATGGTTACGGAAATCTATAATCGCCAATCACGTGAAATGTTTCAATTTTCTCGTGATCTTTAATTGATCAATAAAATCAAAAATTAAAATTTCGAATAGGTGTATCTCTTTTAACGATACATACGTACTTAGTTGATTTGTACTGATATTACTTTGGATTTTTTTTATTTTTTATTTTATTACAACGAACAAAATATTAAAAAAGATATATATATTATTAAAAAACAAAAATA